GTAAGTTGAGTCCCGTTGAAAACACTGTGGCCCCAGGGCGCAGAAAACACTGCAGCGAATCAAACCCTGCGCAATTAAGACACACTTCCCGACAAACTTTCGAAATAAGAGCCCGGTTCTGGGAAACATAGAGGCTACTTCCGTGCAGAATCTCGAAAATAAAAGCACGCTCGGTCAAAGTGTGGTTTTGAACAGATATTCTAAGGTTTTATGTAAGTTATTTTGTAACGAATTAACACATGCCTAACACATAAGGCGCGTTATACATGGGAACATGATATTTTTGTATAGATAGATAGATAGATAGATAGATAGATAGATAGATAGATAGATAGATAGATAGATAGATGGGGGTATCTATCCATTTATCTATCTAGTTATTCGTGCGTGTGCTATAAAAAAATTTCTGCAATAAATAATTCTTAAAAATAATACTACAGTTTGTACTCTAACTATTATTATACTTAATAATAAGATTACAAGCATATAATTATATATTTGTGTAGCAACTAGAGATGGCACGATACCACTTTTTAATGTCCGATACCGATTCCGGTATCATAAATTTGGATATCTGCCGATACAGATATAAATCCGATATAGCGTATTTTGTAATCAATAAAACAGTTTTTTATAGATATCTTGCTGCATTTTGTATAAGTTCATACTCAAGTTTTAAAAAACAAGAGACTGAAGCTATTCTGTTATACCTGTATGCAAAAAATACACTCCACCCAAAACATTTTATGGTTTAGCAACACTGATCAATCTTATAAATTTAAACCTACACCATCCTCCCTATTCTGGTATTTTAAAGAGTACTTAGTGGAAATATTAAACAACCTAACTAATAGGGTTGCCGACTCCCAGCAAAAATATTAGGGAACCACCCCCGCCCTTAATCGATGTAATCAACTTTAATTTAATGCAAGTGTAAAACAAATCCACAGAAATCAATTATTTTTCTACAATATTTAAATAGATTCAACATCTTTCTTCAACAGAATTGCAGACTGCACAGATGGTACCTTCCCAAAGGAAAAAGTACTATAGCTTACTAGGGTGTATATTAGACTTATTAGTTACTATTAGAGATGGACCGATCCGATATTAAGTATCGGTATCGGTCCGATATTGACCTAAATTACTGGATCGGATATCGGAGAAAAATAAAAAATGTAATCCGATCCATTAAATATCACGAAAGCACCTCACAAAACTTGCAACACGCCGTAACTCACCTCAGAACGTTAGCATGTCGGAGCAGTATGCATCACGTGATAGAGCGGCTGTGGCATGCAGGACCTGTAGGTGGTCTGGATAGCATTTGGAGCTTCGCTAGCAACCCGGCATTTAATCTCCGACAAAGTTATCCCCGAGAGAAGTAAAGCAAGTGTGTAAGTCCATCTCTGAATGTTTGTAAAGCATTCCTGCGTTAAGCTTAACGAGCGATATATGGAGCGACTGCCTCTCGCTCTCCGGCTGCTACTTCAATCATGAAACTGCTTAACGATCGGCTTTTTATTTATTTTTGTTGTTGCTGGGAGTTGGAACCCTATTAGTTAGGTTGCTTAATATTTATGCTAAGTACTCTTTAAAATACCAGAATAGGGAGGATGGTGTAGGTTTAAGTTTATTAGATTGATCAGTATTGCTGAACTATGAAATATTTTTTTTTGCATACAGGTATAACAGAATAGCTTTAGTGTAGTTGTTGTTTTAAACTTGAGTATGAACTTATACAAAATGCAGCAAGATATTTAAAAAACAGTTTTGTTGATTAAAAAACACTATATCGGATTCATATCGGTATCGGCAGATATCCAAATTTATGATATCGGTATCGGTATCGGACATAAAAAAGTGGTATCGTGCCATCTCTAGTTACTATATACAATAATGGATTTCTATACATTTAATCAGATGACCACTTTTGTTGTAATATTCAGATAATTATTTATTCAAAGTTTTTGACTGACATAACAAAGAAAAATATTTCTTTGTGCCCCCCTCTCCCTGTTAATGGCCTACCTGGCCCCCAACAAAGCTTTACTAGATCTGCCCCTGCACAGTTACCAGCTGTCAGCTACTTAGAAAAGGATCCTGGTGTTATTTGTCTCTCAGAAACAGTTCATAACTTCCCTTCAACTCATTCATGTCACCTAAAAGGTAACCCTGTTTCTCCATCACCAGCTCAGCTCTGATGATTTAGTAAGGATCTTTCATCTTCATGTTTCCCTCTCACTACATATCCAAACGGATATCATCACCAGCAGCTTTTACAGCTGTGGCTCCAGCAAACCTCAGCTGTTACTAGAAAGTAATATTAAATACATTCTAACAACAGCTTATCACGCTTAAACGTGCTGCTGTTGTTTATCCACTGGTCTCCTCTTTCTAGCGCAAAGTGGGCGATAAACAAACAAGAAAGACGGGACTTGCGGCAGAAAAGCTGATCAGCTTATCATTGATCACTTTCATGTTTGAAGTAATAACAGGAGAGGAAGGGAGAGAGAATGAGCGAAGTAGATGCAACCTCGCAGCAAAGACAGAATAACTCCAGCTTTGTGTCTATTTTTTAATTCTAGCTGAAGTACGGGACAAATCGCTTCCTTTTCACCTCAATATGGAACTCTGATGGCCAGTCCAGCTGTGGCTCAATATCTCAGTTGTTAAGCTTAACGTGGAAATACTATGCAAACATTCAGGGATGAACTTACACACTTGCTTTACTTCTGTGGGATAGTTTTCGCCGAGATGAAATTAGGAAGCATGTGGCGAGGCTCCAAATGCTCCAACAGCCCGCTGACAGGCCTGGCAGACAACAGCTCTATCACGTGACAAATACTGCTCTGATGCGCGGAGCTGGGTTATGCTAAGTAGCGCGTTTTGTGAGGTGATTTTGTGATACTTCAGATCGGATAACATTTTTTTTTCTTTTTTCTCTCTCCGATATCAGATCCAGTAATTTAGGTCAGTATCGGATCGATACCGGATCGGTCCATCTCTAGTAGCAACAGCTGGTTTGAAGGCTCTAGAGAACTGTCTTTGTAAACTGACATTTCTTTGTAATAGCAAGGAATTAAATTTCACTTTAACTGAACTTTTCCGGTAAGGAGCTGAATTAAGGGTTCAAAAGCCAGACATTTTCCATAACGGCCTGTAAATTAGGTTTAGTATCTCTGATACTAAGAATATGGTTTAATTTAACAAGCAGCCAAAAAGCAGATTAAAGCAGAGAAGGAAAACAGTGTTGGCTTAAGGGGGGTGTCTAATTACAAAATATTCTAAAAGAATTCACGAGGAAGATAATGTTTCCATTGTTAGTCTAATTAATTTCAAGTAAAACTTTTGATAAGCTTTAATATGCTGCAAAGATATTCGCATATCCCAAAATTTGTCTTGCAGCCAATAAAAAAAATATAAGAATGCGCTCCAAGGAGAAGAAATGGATCCACTCCCCTTTCTGATTGGTCCTCTTCACTCACGTGGCAAGCCACTGCCTCTTTGACGATGAAGATCGCGCCTGCAGGATCATAAGTGCGATTTCCTGTGAAGTTTTCACAATAAAATCCTGTTTTTATGCACCACGTTTTGTAGGAGCAGCTTCAGTAATCTATGAATTTTAAAATAAGAACGAATATATAAATATATAAAAACAAATGTGGAGTAATATTTAAAAGTGATAATATTTTAAAAAAACCACAAAAACGAAGCAAAACTTGGTATAGAAATAAAATGTGTAAGAAATAAATGTTTTAAAAGCCCTCCAGCTCCTGAGTGTGAGACATTTTTTTTAAACATACACATTTTGTATTTAAAATTCTTTAACAACATACTGCGCATCAGGCTGGATTATTACCATCAATGTAGACTTTAACATAATTAAAATGTATTTAAAAAATTAAATACTGTATAGGCATGGAATGCTTCACATTACAATTTATTTTAAGACAAAATGAGATGTGTTTCTTTCATTGAAACAGGTGTATGCCTAAATAAATTTGATAAATCTATTCAGTTATTTAGTAAATATTTTCTTTCTGATTTTACATTTTTCTACACAAAAAAGCTGAAAACATAAGATTTGAAAGTTTACTGATTAAATGTATCTTAACAGTGATGACCCCAGCATGTATTTCTGAGAATCGCATTTAAGCGGTCAGTTAATTAATAGATTGATCAGAACACGATTATGCCATTGTACATTTTATATTTTACATTTTTGTGTTTTGGATCACTGACTAAATCAAAAAATTACATAAAAAATATTTCATAAGTTCTTATTAACTATCAGCAGGGGATAATTAGCTGACATAAAAGCTATATAAAGTTTGTATATTCGTGTGTGCATGGGTTCATTTAAACACTGGACACAGGAAAATGTCAGCATCATGCACATTTCCTGGATTCAGTGACTTTTTCTGCTCCAGTGTGTGGATATCAGCATCAGTTTGCTGTGGAAACGCCCTCTTTAAATAGGCATCGGTTCATATTCATCTTGAATTTATTCAGTTAAATTATATTCCTTTGGACCTCCAAAATATATCACACTTTATGCCTGTGTTGTGGAGCTAAACAATGAAGCCAACAAGAAAAAAAGGGTCTGCTACTGTTATTTTTTGCATCCTTTGCAAAATACAGCTTGTTTCTTTTGTATATGGGGTGAAATCTGGACATATATATCTACACACATACACAAATAAAAAGTACAAATGAGATTCTCCAGTTGTGGGACAGTTTGGAAGATATGAAATTAATCCGTGTGATTTTTTTAAAAGGGGGGCAAAATAAAAGTTTTTAAAGCTGCCCTTACTTTAAGTACAATTCAACTTCGAGCGCTTTTTTATTGTTAATGGTTGCTTAGGTGCGGATTTCTGGCTTCTGAAGTGTCAGAAAAGGTGAATGCATCACTGCTTCACACACTAATCCGCTAAATGGTCCAGATTGGTTCTTTTATTTTGAAGGACGCTTAAGTGAAACCGGTCGTGCTGCGTGTTTTTGTTAGCAGCGCTGCAAGGTTAGACCGTTAGTGCTGTTGTGATGGAGGAAGAATGAAAGTTTGCTCACGCTGCTCTTGTTTTGGTTTGCATCGTGTTTCACTTTAGCTAGCCGATTAGCTTACTGAAGCCCAGCCATGTCTGCCATGTGGCGGCGGCTGCAGGTGAAGGTGGGGCCGGCTCGTGGATTACTCACCTCCACACAGGTTACACGTCGATCCACATGGCTGAACGGACATCTGTCTCTGTGTCAAAGCTTTAGCACAGGCACATCTCTACGAAATGACTTCTTCAAAGGTGGGAGTAACCAGGACGACTGTTGTACAACTCAGCAAACCAGCTTACATTTAAAAATACTAAAATTATCCAATGGTTTGTGTTTCTATAAATATGTGCAACTTTTAGGATCCTGCTAAACAGTTTTAATAAGCTACTAGAAGCCTGTCTGCAATTCGGTTGCATACAGTGTTTCAAATAACAACTTTTATAGTTCTTTGCACTAAACTACTAAACGATTTGGCCGAAAATTCAAAAGGAACAACCATGCATGTTAATTTGCGTTAAAGTGTTTGTAATTTATAAACTGTTTTATATGCCGTATTTGAGAGTGATAGCTAAAGTACCAGGAAGCATTTTAATTTCTTAGCTGAAGGTAAACATTTGCAAGTAACCTTGAGAGAGTGTAAAGTTTGGGGTTTTGTGGCTCAGATCTGGAGACCCATATGGAAGCTATGCGGAAGAAGGCGATGGACGCGCTTCCAGGGAGCAGCTGGACTCCTCTGGAAATCAACCCCAACCTTCCTCCAGAGAGGGCGGATATCGTGATCGTCGGAGGCGGGGTGATGGGCTGGTCCATCGCCTACTGGCTGAAACAGAAGGAGATGGTGCGCGGAGGGGTGCGGGTCCTGGTTGTGGAGAAGGACCCAACGGTGAGGGACTGAGAGATAATGAGTGTAGACTAGCAGTGTCACTTTATTCCTTTCAAAAAATTGCATGATTTAAATCTATTCAAAGTGTCAGGAGAAAGGATCATACTGTGCTCATGAGTCATGTCCTCACTGCTGTTCAAACTAATCCTCTGCCTTTTCCTCCTCATATTCATAAACTGCTCCCCCTGACTGTTCGCAGTACTCCCAGGCCTCCACAGTGCTATCTGCTGGGGGGATCCGACAGCAGTTCTCCCTGCCGGAGAACATCCACCTCTCCCTGGCCTCTGCCGACTTCATGAGGAACATCAATGTAGGTCACTGGAAATGAACAATGAGGCTTTTAATCATTAAATGTGACAGAACATGTGCTTTGTTAATATGTGAACACTTTATAGCCATGTCAGATGAGATCAAAGAGGACCTATTATACTTTTTTCTGTCATACAGTGCTGTGAAAAAATTCCCCCCCCTTCCTGATTTTTCCTGTATGTCTCAGATCATCAAACAAATTTTGATATTAAATACAAAATGCAGTTAAATGTTTTATTTAAAGAGTGCAAACTGTCACACCTCTGAATCCCGTCAGGAGCATCTCGGTGTGTTGAACGAAGACCCCATAGACCTGCAGTTTAACCACTCGGGATACCTCTTCCTGGCCAGTGAGGCGGTGGCTCACATCATGGAGGAGAATTACAGCACCCAAAGGTATCAGGCTCAAGAAACCAGTGCTCATACCACAGTAAAAACCCACAGTGTGTAACGTGAAGGGCCGTGAACGGTCATTTGCCATTATTAATTTTCAGAGTTGCAGTTAATTTTAAAAATGTCCTGATATATTTACATTTTGGAAAGAAACTGAACTCATAAAACAGTCATAGGGTTTATAAATTATACATTTTTCCATTTTCTGTCCTAGAGGATTTCTGTAAGGTGCTAGAATGAATCAATAAAAACACTAAGGACATTTTTCATCTTATTCTGTGATTAGTTACATATTAGTTGCTAAGTTTGTGAGTTTTTGGGATATCAGGAAGCTAAAATTTAACTCACATTTCAGGTACGCTGGAGCCAAAGTGTTTCTTCTGTCTCCGACACAACTGAAGGAGAAGTTTCCGTGGGTAAACACAGAGGGTGTGGTTCTTGCTTCATACGGTGAGTGCAAATAAAATGTGAACTGAAGGTCTGTAATGATTATCAGCAGCCACACCAGACAAGGTCGAGACCTGTTAGCTTCTCATCACTGATCATGATTGACTGCAGCTGTTATTTTATTTTTTCTGGCATAAAAAGAATTTGTTTGGTAGCACTGACGATACTCAGAACAATTGGAAAGCCTATTTTTAAACAACAAGTCTAAGATCATTTTGTAAGTAAGTCCAAGTTATTCAGATGTGTCACCACTTTACCAAGATCTGGAAAAACCAAACAGGCTCGAACGTGCTACGAACCAGAAACTGTTAGAACACAAACGCCACTGTCCATAGTAGAGGAAGTTTTACGCCACCGTGGACTGAAAGGGTGCTGACCAAGAAAGAAGCTCCTGCTCGAAACCGGACACCTTCAAGCTCAACTGAAATTTGAAATTCACCTTCTAGCGAAAAGTTTTATGGTTAGATAAAACAGAGGTTAGGCTATCTGGCCACATCTATGAAGGAGTAAAGGCGACGTATTCAAACCAAAGAACAATGTACCAACTGTGAAGCACGGTGGTGGTAGCATCACTTGGGGCTGTTTTGCTGCCAGTGGTGCTGTTTTATTACACCAACCGGATGGAATAATGAAGAACTACCTCCAAATTCTTCAACTTGAACTCAAATCAACAGTTTGATGGTTGAAACTTGGACACTGTTGGATGTTCAAACAGGAAAATGATTCCAAACATACTTCACATCTGGTTTTGGGATGGATAAAGCAGGTGAACGTTAAGCTTCTGGAAATGCCTTTCCAAAGATCAACCTCAACCTTATTGTGCTTAAAAGGCACATCTTTACTAGGAAACACACCAGAAACACTCCAGCCAGAAGCTTGTGATGGTTAAAGTACAACTTGCTAATGGATATTTAAACATATTAGTGGAGGTGCATGTATATATTTGAGCATGAATGCAGAGGTTTTGACCTGATGAAATCCAAAATAAATAAAAATCTGTGCACCCAATTCTTGTTTTTTAAATTTCTTAAAGGAGTGTGCTGTACATTCATCACACACTGGAAAAATAACTGTTCAAAGAAATCATTAAAAGCCCCAAATTACCATGACATTCATGCCCATGAAGAACATGTGTAAACATCTGAGCACAACTGTATATTTGGCTCTGAATTTTGTTCTTATCTGTTTGTATTTAACTGAGCTGGATATCTACAGTGTGACTTTCTCTGCTGCTGTTTCGTGTTCTGCAGACTAAAGCTAAAGTGCTTTAGCTCGTGGCACCTGTAAATCCCATTAGAGTTTTTATTAACGCCTAAAGTTTTGACTTCCTCTTCTTGGACAGAATTTCCACTAATGTTGAAAACAGTCTGCAGCTCTGTCCTGGGGCAACCAGTGTAACAAATACACACCAAATATATAAGTGAAAAATAGGCGCAAAAGCATTCGTTAATCTGTGTTTGCACACCCAATTACGTCACTGGATTCCCATCCAGGCAAAAATCCCCAACACCATCATTTGGGTCACGATTTTTAAGAAATCTGCAACACTTAAGCAGAAGATTAACTGTGATATATGAGCCTATGACACACTCTCGTTTTAAGACCTTAGAAAAACTAATCTGAGTAATGCAAAGCTGCAGCCAACAGTAATTTAACTTATCAGGGCGTCTGACAGTTCTTTCCATCTGCTAATATTAGATGATAGTGGTGTGGAGTCGCCTAATTATTCTCTGACAGCCCAGTTTTAGATCCTGATTTGTCTTCTTTTGTCACAGTCGGTAAGAAACGGAAACTATTCGCATCTCAGGAGCTCCAGCAGTTCTCTCAATTATTACTATTAGTTATGGCATATTATAGTACTAATAGTATTGTAATATTTGATAAGTATTATTCCCTGAAGTCTGGCATCACTTACTGATAATCAGAAAACCAGAAATGTTATATTTCAAGTGGCTAATGGTCTTTATCAAATGAATTATTTAAAAGAGAAAATGTGCCAGTTTTAGTACTTTTATCCAGTTGTTCATGATTTCCTTGTAATATTCAGTAATCGTGCGCACCATTGTGAATGTCTGTCTGATCTTCTGTCATGCAGGGCTGGAGAATGAGGGCTGGTTTGACCCATGGACTCTGCTGAACGCCTTTAAGAGGAAGGCCATCTCCATGGGAGCCATTCAGTGCTGTGGGGAAGTCACAGGTTCGTTACAGCGTCCTGACAACTAAACAAACAAACACACACACACAGGGGAAATACGTCTGCTAAGAACTTGTTATAATCCTATTCAGTGCTTAAGATTTATAGTTTTTGTATAAACCGAATGTTTGTTTTTGAATTATTTTGGACAAATCAGGGTTTTCATTTGTGCGGGGCGTGGTCTGCAGTGCCGCTGCAGGGGAGGTGGACCCACCTGAGCGGCATCTGCAATCACGTCTCTCGGGCGTAAAGTCTGTGCTCTCTCGGCTGTTTTTTGGGTGTGTGTTGGGCTGTGAGTTGAAAAGCTACAGCCCTCTGTGTGGGTACACCAACCATGTGTGAAAATTGGTCCATAACGTAATGCTTCAAAGCGTGTTCATGCAAACATTGTTGGGTCTGCTGTGGTACAATGGGACTTCTGCTCATGAACCTGTGTGCACAGCGTCTTCAAATCGGGGCTGTACGAAGTCACCTCATCTTTACACAAAACTGTAAGCTGTCATTTGTGAGGCGTGAGCAGTGTTTGTTTTTACCATAGTTCATGGTGGAGAATGGCTGCTCTGCTGAGTTTTGTTCTCTGTAGCCATATGAATGGCAAACTACACTGATTAGCAGCGGCATAGGCTCACTTAAAATTTCTTCTGAAATTTTCGCTTTCTAGTTATTATATTTACATGCTTCCAGCTCCCGTCTTTGCTCGATGACAGCTCGTGCTTTTCCTTTTTCTCCCTCCCTCGCTCACAGACACATAACGGGTATGGCAGTCCATTCTCCCTGCAGCACGGATTACACTGCCTATGATGCTACATTCTTTAGCGCTATACCTGTAGCATTCTGCCTATTAGCTTAGCACAGCAACAACAAAAAGGCGCTCTCTCACCCAGGAAACACGCAGAGAGAGAGCGTCACCCTGTAACCATGGCAACCGTAACGCTGCCGCCTGGAACAACAGAACATGGCTGTCAAACAAAACCCAAACAGTCCTGACCGGCGACAATATGAAACAGGGAAGTACCGCCGTGTAATCCATTTATTTCAACAAAGTAACTGTATTCTAAATACCACCTTTTTCAACGGTAACAGTAACGGAATACAGTTACTCATATTTTGTATTTTAAATACGTAACGGCGGTACATGTATTCCGTTACTCCCCAACACTGTATACTAGCACTCTTAACAAAACAACCAGACCACAAAATCAACAGCAACCGGTCCGGTCTCTTTCCATTAATAGGGATTCACTGTCCTCGACTCACCTTGTTCTAGCATAAGTGAGACGAGTCTGAAAACTCAATATTCACCATATGAAGTGGTGGATTTAAAAAAACAAAAACACAATCTTTTCCTAAAGCTCAGTGGGTAGTTTTTAGTGCCTAAACAGAACCAGGGGGGTGACAAAGGGGGAACAAAGTCTCCTTGCTTTTAAGGAGTATTCCCCCCCTCAAAAAAATAAATAAATAAGAAAAACAAAACAAAAAAACCCTCCAGCTGCTTAGCACAGGCTTTGTAGGTCTCTAAACCAGGACGTTTATCCCTTGGTGACTGATGTTGCCACAGCTGGAGCCTCAAGGCACCAAAGGACACCTTGTGTGTTACACAGAGATTGAGGTTGCGTTTTACAAAACTGTTATGTTACACAGGCATCTGTATAAAAAGAATTCACTCGTATCACATATTCACACAGAGCAGACCAATAAAATCAGAGAAGGTTTTCTCTGTCTTAAGAAGAGAGGAAGTCTCTGACTCTGCTGACCTGATTTCCTCAGGCAGTTTTCTTCATGGCTTTAGAGAAATATTAATCTTTCGTTGGATGAGAGGACTGATAGAACAAGTGGAGGGACAAGATTAGGATGTAGAAATTTAAACTTTGCTTTAAAACTGTAGTTACTCACCATTTTTTGTAGTTTTAAAACATAAAGTAATATGTTTATGATAGATAAGCTATGAGGCGGTAAATAAGCAATTAAAATCATCTCTATGTGCATCGTTAAAGTCATATACACATTAATGAATGATCCAACAATGTATTCTCTTTTATTCTATATAATTTAACTTTAAATGTATTTTAACGCTGTCAGCGTTAATCTCGTTAAAATGACGTTAACGCCATAAGCGCGTTAATGTGGCAAATTTCCGTTAGTGAGTTCCCATTGGCTCCACATGCCACCCTTCTTTTAATTGATTGATTGAAAAAAATGGTTTTTATTTTGAAAATCTGGTGCTATTTGGCAGCCCTGAAATAATTTAGCTGATTTAAAAAAAGAAAAAAGAAAAACATATCTCAGAAAACAACAACTAGTTGTTTGGCAACTCCGGGCTTCCGTACATGAGTATTTCAGTTCCTACATTCGCCTAAATAGCGAAAGGTTGGATCCCAATAGGAGACAAAAGTCCCCCGTGTTTTGTCTCAGGAAGGGTGTGAAAATCTGCCAAATCAAATGTCTGCTGTGGTGACCCGTTGTGAATAAGGGAGCAGATGAAAGTAACTTCTTCTTCTTCTTTTTCTTTGTGTTGAAAATTGGTTTTAATGTGTTTCTCACACAGAATTTAAATATACGACAAGCGTGATAACGACAACTGATGGAGAAAAGCTGGATCTGAGGAGAATAAAGTCAGTCAAAGTAAGTGGAACTGCAAGTGCTGAATGTCTGTGAGATTAGCGAAGCGTATAAAGCTGTTTATTTATTATTCTGTGTGATCGCTAACATGTTAGAAGTCTCTGACTTGTACCTCCCTCGGTTTGGTTCACTTATGTTAATGTTTACTAAGCTTTAGAGGGGAATTCTCAGTTGCTGTGACACTTGTGCAGTGCAGTGTCTTCAACTGCTCAAGTAAAATTTTATTGTATCATTAAATATACTAAAATTATTGCATACAAAAGCTCTGCTGATTCTCAATGAATGTGTGAAGTCTGAATAACAACAGATGGATGGCATGTTCTTCAAATCCCTTCAGACCATATATCAACTGCAATTTCTTCCCAGGTGACCTCGTCCTGTTTAATGTGTCCCACACCGCCTGATTACTGGCACTAAGTACCTCATAAATTTGTCTTGTGGTGCTTTTAATACCTTTTTTTTTTTAGAGCACTAAATCCAGGAGGGATTGTGGAGTGCAGGCAGGAAGGAGTCAGAAAGGGAAGCCATAAAACTTGTGAGCTGCATTACGTCGTTAGAAATGTGTCTTAGGACGACTAAACTGTCTGACATCTGTCCAGATGAGGAAATATTACCATCAGCATAGAGATCCTTCACTGCACAATATATTACCAAAGGATTATTATAATCTGTAGACTAATCATTCATTAACCAACGTTTCCTGCATGTTCACTGAAGAAACCTGGAAACATATTTCCCAGAGGTCATCAAGTAGCTCTCTGCAGTTTTCTGTTACCTCAGGTGAAGGTCTTGCTCTTCCCTTAAACAATACTGCTTTGCAACAATCAGCCATTTTAAAAACTCTTCACAGCTATTGCTATTGGTGTCCTCTTGAGCAGCTGAAACAGTGCTGTCCTTTCTGGGATATTATTTTAAATAATTAGTACGGTTGTATGTTGTTTATGGAATTTTGATCTCAATTTGACAAATATTGTGTGCTAAAAAAGGATTTCTTTAACCGGCCAACCTTTACATTAGAGCTGGGCGATAGAACGATAACGATATGTATCGCGATATAACTTTTACTCGATAGAGAAATTAAGCTATCGCGATAGACCTCGCCGCTCTTGTCCTCTTAAAAAGAAAAAAGGTCAGCC